ATGCTGTAAAGAGCAATATTGCATAGGAACCTGGAATGTTAGGTCCATGAATCAAGGCAAATTGGAAGTGGTCAAACAGGAGATGGCAAGAGTGAATGTCGACATTCTAGGAATCAGCGAACTAAAATGGACTGGAATGGGTGAATTTAACTCAGATGACCATTATATCTACTACTGTGGGCAGGAATCCCTGAGAAGAAATGGAGCAGCCATCATGGTCAACAGAAGGGTCCGAAATGCAGTACTTGGATGCGATCTCAAAAACAACAGAATGATCACTGTTCGTTTCCAAGGCAAACCATTCAATATCACGGTAATCCAACCACAAGCATGCTCACAGGTAAATCAAGAATGTCAATCTCTCAGAAAAGTAAGCTGGTTTTCAAACTAGTCAATGACATGAATTTTTTTTAAAAAGGGGGGAGGGAGAGGAACTGTTGTAAATGAAAAGAAGCTTAAAAGCTTGACCACTAAATTTAAAGAGTGGGTCTTGAATCTTGGTATGAACAAACACTGGAAAGGCATTGAAATAATCTGGAAAATTTGAATATGTATTCAATGATACCAAGATTTATTGTTGATTTTTGTTGGATGTGATAATGGCAGTGGGTAAGAAAGCATTTGTATTTGAGAGAGGAAGTGTGCAGGAAGAAAACACGATGACAGGGATCTGCTTGAAAATGATTGAGAAATTTTTTTTAAGAAATGAAGTATAATATATTAATTGTGAATCTGAGTGAGGTATATATGAAGGTTTATGGTACTAATCTCTCCACTTCTGAATGTTTTAAAATTATTTCATTTAAAAAAAAAGCCAACTGATGAACTGGCTTAGCCAGAAGGTGTGGATTCTTAATCTTCAGCCAGCATCAAAATCACCTAGAGGGCTTGTTAAGTCCAGATTGTTCTGTTCTCAGAGTCTCTGAGTCAGCAGGTCTGGGGCAGGGCCTGGGTCCCCAGGTGATGTGGATGCTCTGATGGGGATTCCATGCTGAGGACAACTGGCATAGTGGTCGTCAGTGAGGCCTGCATCCCAGCTGGCTGGGGTTACCTTGCTCCACATGCTCAATGACCCTGAGAGCCTTCCTGGCTGCCCATCCTCCCATGGAGACGTGGTCCTCCGTGGCCGCGCTGGTGGAGAGGGAGTCCACGGACGAGGGGTGGCACAGAGCCTTGTTCTCAGAAACTGCAAGAGGCCAGAGACTAAGTGAGGGACATATTGTTCCTAATAGAAAGACGTACCAGATGACACATGGCTCCCCAAAGCGCTCCTCAGTGTGGGCTGCCCTCTCCAGGAGTTCCTGGTCATTGTCACAGCACTAGATGTTCCAAAGTTACTTTGGGAAAAGGAAGTCTTGTGGGGTTTTTTTTCCCCAAAGTAAGGACCCTTAAAATTGTAGGGAGTTCTGAGATAGGACTGGGAAGGGAACCCTCATATTATAAAACAAAGTTGAAAACACAGCAAGCATTTGGCATGCCAGGGAGACTAAGGGAAAAAAGAAGTGATGGTCATTTCCAGGACTTGGAGAATAATCTGGTTATGTCAGCACACGAGGTAGGATCAAGATTCAGGCATAGCATTTGCAGGTTGAGGCTGAACACACAGACCTTGAGCAAGAAGATTTAAAGTTGAAACTGTCCAATGATGACATAAGTGAATGTACTCAGTTTAAGGAAGGGCTCAATGACAGCTGGGGATGTCTTGGAGATGTTGGGGGAAGTCTAGAGTTTGGCCTAGGTTGCTGTCTTTCAAACTTTATTGTGCATGAATCACTCGGCCTTGTTAAACTGCAAAGGTTGCATTTCAGGTGGGGCCTGAAATTCTGCTGTTCTAACAAATTCCCAGGTGATGGCTATATTTTTGGCCAGGGGACTATAATTTAAGTAGCAAGGACCTAGATTACAGAGTTCCTTCTCCCCAGCTTCGGAAGCCAGGAAATGTTCAAGTCAAGAGTTTTTCCCCCACTTTTTCTTTTTTTTTACCTATGAGAGCAGCTTTGAGTTCTTTTCTATGCTAAAGGGTATCCGGAGATAATCCAGTATAAACTACAGTGATTCACTCATCCTATTTTGCCCAGAACTTTCAGGTTTCAGCACTGCAAGCCCTGGGCCCCTAAACCTGCAATATGAATCACCTGGTTTGGTGGCGCTTGTTTAGAAAAGTAACTTACAAGTGGCCAGAAAAAAAAGAAAACCACCAATTTATAATGAGAGCAAGCCAAGCAACTTCAAACAGCTAGGGCAGCTAAATACATTCAAAGGAGACTCCTCAACTTCACAACATTCTCTAAAAATCAGTGACCACCCCACCATGTTAATGTGGGGGCTTCCCAGGTGGCACTAGTGGTAAAGAACCTGCCTGCCAATGCAGGATATGTAAGAGATGCAGGTTCAATCCCCGGGTCAGGAAGATCCCCTGGAGGATGGCATAGCAACCCACCCCAGTGTTCTTGCCTGGAGAATCCCATGGACAGAAAAGCCTGGCAGGCTGCAGTCCATAGAGTCTCAAAGAGTTGGACATGACTGAAGTGACTTAGCACGGATGCGTGTTAATGTGAGAAGTCACTGCCTTTTAAAGGGATTTTTTAGTAAGGAAGTAAGTGAGCAGATAGAAGATTCTGGACAGAAGATGAATTCAGTGGCTCTTTGTTAGCTGTGTTGAGTCTAAGTGTGAGACTTAACTGAAGAAGTGGTGAGGAATAATAGTAACAACTAATATTTAGTGCTTACAGTATGTCAGGCACAGTTCCAAGGCTTTCCATGCATTAATTCACTAACTCCTCAGAATAGCCCTATTGTAGGTTTTTCACCCCCATTTTACACAGGAGTAAACTAAGGGTCAACAGGATTAAGAGACTTGCTCCATATCAAACTGCTGATAAATGGACAGAGACAGGATTCAGACCCAGAGGCTGTGTTCTTACTGAACTGCCATTCTATCCTGCCTGTTGGGTAGGCTTGCCAGAAAAAATTGCACATGCTTAGCTAAATTTGAATTTCAGATAAAAAAATAATTTTTAGTAACAAATAATGTGGTGAATAATTCAAATTTAACTGCATTAAATTTATATTAAGTGCATCCTGCATTTCTGTTTGTTAAATTTGGCAACAATATTGCAGGATTAAGTATTGATCAAAATGAAATCCTCATTAATTGAAGTCTGAGCAGATTTGGGAGCCAAAATTCCTGGGTTTGAACTCTGCTTTACTTCTAAATAGCTGTGCAATATTAGGTAGGTTCTTTAACTTCTTAGATCTTCAAATATCCATCTGTGAAAGAGGAAATAATAGTACCTGCCTCTTGGTACTGTTTGGCAATTAAGGGAGTAAATATAAGTAAAGCCCGTCACACTTCCTTTGTGCCAGGCCCTGTTCTGATGTTATTTCTCTGTCCCTTACAGTCTTGAGTCAGAAATCTGCTATCTTCCAGCTCAATTTTCATAGAGAGCATCTTGCTGCTTATAAGCATTTTTGTGTGTTTAATACAGCCTTATGTTTTTAGTGGGAGTTTCACCAGTAGCTATAAACATCTTTGTCTTTTTCCTTCTGATGTTCTTCAAATTGAGGGTAGGGGGAAAGCCACAAAAGGACGTTCACATGTGATGTCACATTGTTTCCTACAGAGAAATCATGAAACCCCCTATTTACAACCTCATTAGTCTATTATTACATTTCAGTGTAATGTTGCTTAGGTTTTATTTTAAATTTTTTCTTGAAACATGCATTTGTATTAAGAGAGGCAGGATGCACATAGAGGGGGTGGAAAAGTTAGATCTCATTCAAAGACAGAATGTGATACTTTCAGGTGAAATGGAAAGACCCATAGATGGATGGACTTGAACTCTGGTCAAAAGTCAGGGTCCTTACCCAGGGCTGCAGCGGTGCAGTGGGCTATCATGAATCCAGAATTCAGACCGCCTTCGGCCACCAGGAAGGCAGGCAGCTCGCTGAGGGAGGGATTGCAGAGTCTTTCGATTCTTCTTTCACTAATTGCAGCAAGTTCATGGACACCAATGGCCAAATAGTCCAGGGCCTGAAAGAGTGTCTCAATCAGGTTGGCCTATATTGGGATATGGGCTTCCCAGATGGCACTAGTGGTAAAGAACCCGCCTGCCAATGCAGGAGACATAAGAGATGCAGGTTTGATTCCTGGGTCGGGAAGATCCCCAGGTGAAGAAATTGGCAACCCACCCCAGTATTCTTGGCTGGAGAATTCTATGGACAGAGGAGCCTGGCAGGGTACAGTCCATGGGATTGCAAAGAGTTGGACATGACTGAGTGAGTGAGTGACTAAGGCTTTCATGCATATTGGGATATGCTTTCAGGGTCAGGAGCAATTCTAAAAAGCTTACTTTGGCTGGATATTCACCATGGAAGTTTCCTCCAGAAATAGTCTCTCCCCTGTTGGCAAAGACCATCTTTCAAAATTGGTTAAGGCTTCTGCATAACACTTGCTGAAAACCTGGAGCATAAGTCTCTCCCTAACCGCTCATTTTTAACACTGAGGTGGCAGCCTTTGTACAAAGGTAGGGTGGAGAGGAGAGTCTTTGCACAAGTAGGTGTTGACCTACCGGGATACAAAGGTAAACAAAAGAAAACAGAACACAGCCTGAAGCGAGCATGTCAGAGAAGCCACACTGAACCCCACACAGCTGCTGTCTGCTGGCCCAGGCTGTGCGTGGGTCTCAGGGCCGCTCGGCAGCTCTCTCTGGGAACTGAGGCAGATGTGAGGGAGAGGAAATAGATCCCTGAGGGGCTGGACGGTCTTTAAAGGCAGTGCTGTCTCTGTGACGCCTTTGCCAGGATGACTCCTGACCCATCACATCACATTATAAGGAGCTAAGTCAACACAGGACATTTTGTAGCAAAACAAGGTGGCGCTGGGGAACCCATACTGCGAAGGAAAGCTGCGCGCCGTCCTTAAGAGATGGAGGCATTCTTATGCTTCTCTGTACAAGTATGGGAACACTGATTTGAGTAAAGTGGCACTAGTGGTAAAGAACTGGCCTTCCGATGCAGGACACATAAGAAATGTGGGTTCTTCCTGGGTCGGGAAGATCCCCTGGAGTAGGGCATGGCAACCCTCTCCAGTATTCTTGCCTGGAAAATCCCATGGACAGCCTGGTGGGCTATAATCCATCGGGTCGCAAAGAGTTGGACACAACTGAAGTGACTTAGTACTCACTCACCACGTCAGAAATAAACTCAGGATGGGGAAAGTCATAACTCTGATCAATACTCAGGTAAATGTTAAAAGGCTTCTGTGTAGTACACCAAAGTAGCACTGAACCCCAGGAAGGCTCCTATAAATGCCATGCTACTCAGGGTCTCCACAATCACACTTGTGATGTAGTCTTCATCCTTCTACCAACAACCCCAGCAATGGGTTTCAGGGCAAATGCCTTCGTGAGACCCTTCAGCTGATGCTGCAAATATCCCCTTTAATCTTTCATCCATCAGTTTCGGAAGCACAGCATGTTAGACTCCAAACCTGAGGCGAGGTTCACAGACCTGTCTCTGCCACTTATCGGCTCAGATCTACAGCCAATAGAGGCTTTTAACCTCAGAGCCCAGGCATTTAGTCTATGAAATGGAGCAACAGAGAAGTTATACAATTTTAAGATCTTCATCGGATCTTAAAATTACCAGCTGAAATTCTGTAATTACAGCTTAGTAAGCAGTTAAAAGATACAGGGTTATCTGTTGCACTGTTAATTTCCGTGGTTATGATGTTCTTCACAAATGCTATTGTGTCATTCACCACACCATGGACCTAAAAGACAGTATCAAATGAGTTAATACATGGAATACACTGTGTCTGGGGCCTGCCACATAGTCTGATATTCCTATCAGAACAGTAAGAACGTTTAAGCTGGAATTTATTCTTACTGTAGAGCTAATATGTCAATCATTCCCCATGGACATTTTTCAGTCTAGCTGAGCTAGAACTAAACTTGCTGAGAATAAGGAAAATAGCATAATATGAAATGAAAATAAAAAATTAAATTTTATTAAATCATTTTCATTTAATTTATTTTATTTAATTTAAATTTTTAATTATTTAAATTTTCATTTAATTTAATTTATTCTGTGGAGGATTCTTCAGTACACTATGGCTTGGAACTTAGTACAACCTGAAATACTGTCTCACTCTTGAGATGAGGTTAGTTAGCTCCTTATGCTACTAATTTCTACTTGCAAATGAGTTATAACATCTGCAATACAGGTTGCCTCACTCCAGTTTAAAGTTAAGACTCACAGGTTCATTTATAATGGTTTATGTCTGCCTGTTAAGTGCAGATAGATCTAATCATGGATATGCCCTTGAATTGTAGTTGGATTTTCCAATACATCCCTGGCAGTTCTAATAGGGAGAACCAGTAAAACTCCATTGACTGGTTAGGATGGTGTTCTTAATAAGAATTTTTTAGAATTTTTTAAACTTAGGGCACTAAACCTAAACAAGAAGCTGTCTATTGGACTTCTCTACAGGGTGGTTGAGCAAAGCAATTCAAAGGGAAACACACAACTTACCATATAGAACAGAAACTTTGTAATAACTGGACAAACGGGGGTATACAGGATATACATCATTTTTAAGAGAGGCCGTAAAGAAATCCGGATTACCATTAACCAGTACACGACTTCCTGACACCTTCCTCTTTATCCCTATCTCAGATTGGAGGAAAGAATAGAAACTTGTTGGGTTTTTTGTTTACCTGTGGACAGCAGCGCAAGGTGTATGCATCTTGAACACGATCGCAGAACCTGTGACTTTCTATGGAAAAGGTAGAGAGGATGGCAAGGGGCATGTTAGCAATTCTTTCCAATTATTTTCAAAAGCAAATAAGTTCAAATAGGCATGCCCAGACCTGCTATTTCAGATGGGTGGTGATCTGAGTCCAAGAGGGACCGAAACCGAAAAGCAACTTCAATTTGCCCACGATGAGGACGAACAGCGTGAATGTCTAGAATTGATGAAGGAGGAAAAGTCTGAGCAATTCTTATATTGAGTGAACTCCCATCACTGGCACAGGACCGCCCACTGTGCTGACCCAGCCCTGAAAAGCCCCAGGGGTCCTTAACCATGCTCAGAATTAGAAACTTAACTCCTAAAGCAAGATTTTCCGTATTGACTTTATTCTTTCTACTTTAAACAGCCAAATGCAAACTATGAGTTGAGCCCATAGGGAACTCAACTCAAGACACTGGGCCTACCCTGAAAAGATTTAGGCTCATAACAGAAGGGAGCTCAGTGGCCTAATTTAATTAAGTCATTTTTAGACAGGGTGTTTTTTTTTTGGTCCTACTACATATAAGAGTGGGGAGTCCTTCAAAGCCTAGAAAAGATTTCTAGAAAAGCTATCACTTGTACAATTTTTCTCTCCGATTTTCTAACGGGCACTAGCCGTAATTCCATGCCAATTCTCAAATCCTGCCAGCAGATCCTTAAGACAACAAGTAGTTTGATGGGAATCAGAGCTGGTGGTCTGGGGCAGGTCACTTAACTCTCTGGGTCACCATCTGTCTGTGAAACGTGGTCGTTTCAAGGATCACATGTGGCATAACCGAGAGGAAGCTGCAGCACTATTGCGATGGTCCCCCAGATGGTCTTCTTCTCCCCACCATCTACCCCACCACTCCCACGTCCAAAGACCCTGACCACCCCGCCCCACCCCCCTCCCAGCTCTGGCTGAATGAACAGCAAACAAACAGCAGAACCATGCTGACCAGTATCGAAGGCTTTGGTGGTACCCTTGAGCACCTCGAGGGTCAAGGCCGCCACTATGTCAGCTTGCCGAGCGATGGCGCTGGCCCTCTCCACAGCCTCAGAGCCCAGGGAGGTGATCATCTGCGTCCCGTTGATGAGCGCCAGACCCTTCAGGTGATGCAAGAGACATTTCCTAATGCTTTTTGTTGTAACAAGCACTTCTTGTGCTTTCCTATGAGGAAAATTTGCCTTCAGCTGAATGATGTTGATCCATGGCTTCTAAAGTGCAGGGCGGTGATGCTTGGTTAAGTACTCAAGGATGAGTGTCATCATATAAAATTTGGCAAATGGAACAGCTGTGACTAGTTTCCCTGTCATGAGGCAGCAGTGGAGTTCCAATGTAGACGGCATATAAAACCTTTAGCTCTTCATTATTCTATATTTCTTCAAGTTCTCATCTCATCTCATAAGACACCTTGAAAAATTTCTGGTCTGAGACTCTTGGCTTAGAGCGTCCTAAGTGATGGTGGTTTACAGCATCATTCAGGGATCCTTAGAGATCCTGATTAGAAGTTTAAGTACTTCTGTAAAAGAATCCCTGAGCATCTCTGTACTGGAGATGCCTTTCAGTAAATAAGGGAGAGTCCTTTCTTCAATGACCAACTTAAGCAAACATGGAGGCTATGTTTAAGAAACCAGTGAGGCTAATATTAAGACTGAAAGTAGCGCATAACGATTTGTTAAAAGGAACAAATTTTCCTTGAGTCTCTTACCTCTTTTGGTTTCAAAACAATTGGCTTCAATCCATGAGCTGCGAGGACCTGTAGAATGATTTAAAAAGTGAAACGGGTTATCAAATGAAATACCAGCATATTTCTAATTTCATGTAGAATCTAATAAAAGTAAGCTCAAAGGTCTCTCTTCTAAAGATTAGACTTACTTAAATTGGCTCTGTTCATCTTCTCTGATCTATTCTCTAGTTCTGTTCTTTAGTCTGCAAGCAGACTTAGCTTTTGAATAACTTTTGTACCTAAAATTATCAGAGGCTAGTGTCTACAAAATCAATCCTGAATAATGGGTTCTAGGCCCTTTGCATTGTTTGCACTTTCGTGATTCTTTTTTTTTTTTTTTTAACTGCTGCTTCCTGAGCACATGTGCATACCCAGATGCAGATGCTCCAAGGCTGGGCTTCTAACTCTGCCCACACTCCCTGGCCTCTGGAGCTTGACCTAAAATTCTCCACCCTCATCCTACTTGTATGAACACCAGCAGAACCTCACATCATCAGAGCAGGGCTTCTCACTTGTATGGCATATGTGTGAGCACCAGTGAAGAGGGGGTGTATGGCCTAAGAGATAGACACAACATCCTCAGAGGAAATGGGCAGAATAATCTTCCGCTGAAATAAAAGAAGTGAAAGCAGTCACCAGGTTAATATTTCTCCGGGGAAGAAGGAGCAGCAGGGGAGAAGGAAGACAGAGGAAGCACAATTGACTATCATTTTCACAGCTTATTAAAACACCAGTCACATGCCTAATTCTGTCCTGGATGTGGGTCTAAGGGTAGGGAAAATGGAGACAGACAAGTTCAAGGGCAAATACAGTCATAGGAATACAGTCAGAGGCAAATACAGTCATAGCAGCAGGTTAAGTGCTCCAGGAGGTGGGAAGTGGATAAGGTCCACTGGGAAATAGTCGCGTAAGAGGCTGGGGAAGCACAGAGGAGGGCAGAAGGGACTCAGCAGTGGTGGGGCACAGGGGAAAGAAGAGGAGGGCAGAGACGGACATTCCTCGGGGGTCTCAGCAGAAACAGGAAGGGAAGGGTGGACGTGACTGGCCCCTCCACCTCGGACACAGCACGCTCCAGCTGCAGGCACCTCTAGCTTCTGTGATGTACAGTGTTGGTGGGGAGGGATTCGGGTGGCTGGGTAGGGGGGCAAGATGGCAATAATATGTCAAGACTCTTGTAAGCCACTTTCATTTTAAACATTATCCTAAGGACAATGAGAAAAATGACAAGTTTTGGCCAGGGCATGGTCAGAATTGCTGTGTGAAGGCGGTTGAGGGGGACACTGGATGTAGAGAAATAATCAAGATTAGTCTGTAAAGAAGGAAGGTGATCTAGAACTCCAACCCTTAGAAGGACCACCTGTTCTCTTGACTTCTTTCTCCCTGGTCCTCTGTCCCTTGACTCAATGTTAAGTGACCTCCCAGCAAAAGGTCAGAGATGATACTTCAAACAAATATTTGGGCTGCTCTGACAACCCAGGGACCAAACCCACATCTCCCGCATTGCTGGCAGATTCTTTACCATCTGAGCCAGCAGGAAACCCTGAATGAATGTGTAGATGAATAAAGAAAATATTAAAGCTTTGTCAAACCCAGGCCCTTCTGACTGACCACCAGGATGAGAGCTTGGGTGTGTGTGGGGGGGGGTGGAGCCTCCTTTCCAGGGGCCTTATATCAGGGCCATGATCCACAGCTCTGTACCCATTAGACCAGCAACTAGCTAAACCTCCAACAATGTGTGACCTCCTGGATAGGTACTAGGAGTGTTTTAGGTGCAGAAGAAGTTCCTGCAGTGAACACTAGCAGCTTTACCTTTTTACCAAGGTGATCACCAGGTCCAGGAGGCTGATGGTTGTGTAGGGAAGCTAAGAGTATCACTTAGTTGGACACCTGTAGTGCACTAAGGGACTTCCCTGGTGCCTCAGATGGTAAAGAATCTACCTGCAATGCAGGAGACCTGGGTTCAACCCCTGGGTTGGGAAGATCCCCTGGAGGAGGGCATGGCACCCACTCCAGTATTCTTGCCTGGAGAATCCCCGTGGACAGAGGAACCTGGCAGGTTACAGTCCATGGGCTTGTAAGAAAAGTTGGACATGACCTAGCAACTAAACAAGAACTGAATATAAAGACAAGGGTGACACATGACCCAGAGAAGTTGACACATGAAATGAACCATCACAACTCTCCTGCAAAGCTGGATATTGTTCAAAGGTAATCAGCATCCATTCCCTCCCACTTCTAGCCTCTTAAGTACACTGCAGACTCAAACCTGAGAGCTGTGTTTCCCAGACTCCTGTGCCAGCAAGGATATTATTAAGGTTCAGGTTCTGCCAATGGATCAAACTGCAAGAGATCTGGAAGCAAGGCAGAGACATCCTCCCTCCAACACCAGGGACAGAAGAATAAACTTCTGCAGATGTGAGTTTTACAGTGGCTGCTAGATTCCCATCCTCTCATGTCAGCTGTCCTGGCAGCACTGTAAGCAGATAGAGGTGAGGGCCCCTGTGAAAGAGAACCAGACATGGCTTTCTTGACAGAAGAAAAGGCATTTTTGGCTTAAGGCATTTCATGATCTAATCCTAGCCTCTCACTGTCTCCATTGTTTCCCCATCTATTTGCCATGAAGTGATGGGACTGGATGCCATGATCTTAGTTTTCCAAATGTTGAGTTTTAAGCCAACTTTTTCACTCTCCTCTTTCACTTTCATCAAGATGGTCTTTAGTTGTTATTTGCTTTCTGTCATGAGAGTGGTATCATCTGCATATTTGAGGTTATTGATATTTCTCCCTGCAATCTCGATTCCAGCTTGTGCTTCATCCAGCCCAGCATTTCTCATGATGTACTCTGCATATAAGTTAAATAAGCAGGGTGACAATATACAGCCTTCATGTACTCCTTTCCCAATTTGGAACCAGTCTGTTGTTCCTGTGAGGCTGCCAGGGCTAACGGGCAGCCCGGACCTAAGTTTCGGTTTCCCCTGAATTGGTAAGATTCCCCACCCCCATCAGGCTGCCTGGAGCCAGCCAATCAACAGGCGCCCAAAAGGGAACAAAGGGAACATGAGGGAAAGCGGAAAAGCCCTCGAACACNTTTCCAGGCAAGAATACTGGAGTGGATTGCCATTTCCTTCTCCAGGGGATCTTCCCAACCCAGGAATCAAACCTGGCTCTCCTGCATTGCAGGCAGATTCTTTACCGACTGAGCTATGAGGGAAGCCCCATTAACAGGGAAATTCCCATTAATTTACTAAAACAAAAACAAACAAAAAGGCTATGTTTCCAAGGTAAATTCAGACTACTGATAGCATTGGTTTTTACAACTGCTAAGTGATGTCAGTAGGATGAAGCCATGCCATCCGTAGGTCAGCTTCCAGGCCATAGTTCACCCTGGGGAATTCTCAGAATTCTAGGACCCAGAGGTGCCTTGGGCTCACCCATAAAGCATAGGTGGGTTCACAGCTGAAGCTGGACTATCTGGGATTTTAGGCTTAGAGTTGGGAGTGGAAACAGGTGTTGAAATCACTGGTGTTCTCTTCAGCACAGCCTTCTATACTATAGATTGTTCATTCACATTACTGTTTACTTGTTGGCATTTATAGGTCACTTGTGCCTATAGCTGGGAAATTCCTCATGCCTCTGTGCTATGTGACTGCCTGGCCCTGCTTCTGCGCCCACTTCCTCACCCCCCAGGTTCCTGAGCCTCCACTGATCTAGAATGCTTATCCTTATCTGTGGGAAGGGATAGGCTTGGCCTCCCAAGCATGTCACATCTTGTCTCCACACTGGAATTTTCCCAAGAAGCAAGCCCCAAAGGGTCGAATTGCTTTTTATCTTGTCACTAGACAGCTATGTGATCACAGCAAGTCTTTCATCTCTATATTTCTGTTCTACCTTTGGAAGAGGCTGAATTTCAGTTATTTTTAAGTCTGGCAATCCCACCAGTTGGGGAGCATGAAGAGTTCAGATTCCCAGGCACCAACCAGAAGTACTGAATTGGTCTTTGGGATAGACATCCAGGAATTGTCATGTTTCCCAGATAATCTGAATAGCTTCTCTAACCACATTCAAGTACCACCGAATCCAAGGTTCTCTCCAGCTCTGAACTTAAGGCCAGACTTAAGGGGCTTGTTCTGATTTTAAATATGCTGAATGCTAAATGAAGGGTGATAGAGAAGGAGGAAAGTTCACAGGAGTAAGAGTCTCTGCCTCTGCCCCCCCCCCTTCTGCCCCCATATCGCTATCTTTCTTCTTGCCAAGCCCACTTCCCACTCATCATCATCAGTTTATGTCTTCTTAGCTCACCAATATCTCACCACCCTGTCAATCAAGTCTGCCTGTGGTACCCACCCAGCCTGCATGGAGGGTTATTTGGGGATCCATTGCATTACCATTAAATACTTCGATAACTTGTTTGAGAGTCTCCAGGGAAATGCCACTGTATCCTTTGGCTAAGACATTGATCCTTAAAGCCAAGAGCATCCGGCATCTCTCAGGGATTAGTGGTTTCCCAACACCTACAAAACAGAACTGATATTTTCTCTAAGATAAACAAAATCCTCCTCCTCCCAGCCACCTCCATCTCAAATTGCTCTCCACCTCTTGGTTCAGGTAGTTGCACTGCCTTCCCTTCTGATTGTCACGCTTCTTCAGGTCTCATCTTCCAGACAAATGTGAGACTCCAGTTTTGCCTCCCCAGTTCCCTTCCTTGGAAATTTCAGTGAGCCTGCGCCCTCCCCAACACCCTTGGAATGGGGTCCAGTCTTCTCACACAAGCTCTCTTGCAGTCTGATGGGAGGCAATNGGAAAAATAGTTAAATCTTTGGAGGGACAGAATAAGGCATGATAGAGCAAACGGAAGAAACAGCAAGTCTGTATTCTCTACGTCAACTCGTGTGTGAGTTAACCTAAGTTTCACCCTCCTTGTCTGTAAATTGGAGCAAGTATTATTTCCATTGTTGAAAGGAATTTCTAAAATGAGAATCTGTGTGTCTTTGGTGGGGAGTGAATCAAACTTATGTGAATGTGTGTGTGTCTTTGCTGGGGAGTGTATCAAACTTACTCGAGTTTACTGACAGGAATTACAGTTCTGGCAAATTTCCCAAAACCCGTAGTAATGCCGTAAACAACTAGAATAAAAAACAGACATCATACAATTGGACGCAGGCTGCATTTTTTAAGTCTATAAAAAGAAATATGTAACACAAAGAGAAAAAGATACCAGTTTTTTCTTCCACGATTCTGTCTATGACTTCCCTGGATTTTTGCACCCTCTTTTCAGCAGTGGGGGTGAGCTAGGAAGACATTGGGCAGAGCTGAACATGTTGAAGACTTTACATGGGCAGCAAGAAAGGTTAGGACATCACCCCCCTCTATTCAGCATACCTTGATTTTGTAGTGTCCCTTGCCCAAGCTGACCAGGTCCTCTGTGGTCAGACTGTCCCCATCTAAGGAGATGTACTGCACAAAAAAGAAGGGAATCTCTGTGAGCGTGAATAGCTTAGTTGCTCAAATGAAAGAGCAGGGAAGCGTCGAGCAGAATCAAGCTGTGGCACTTGAGAAATTTTATCACTACTATGAAACATGAATATGGTAGTTGAAAAGACAGCTTGCTGAAGAGGAGGTTAAGGAAGAAAAATTAGAAATGGAAAAGCAGGACTTCCCTGGTGGTCCAGAGGTTAGGCATCCACCTGCTAATGCAGGGGAGAGGGGTTCAGTCCCTGGTCTGGGAAGATTCCACATGCCATAGGGCAACCAAGTCCATCTGCCACAACTACTAAAGCCCACGTGCCTAGAGCCAACGCTCTGCAACAAGAGAAGCCACCACAATGATGAAGCTCCCGCTCACTGCAACGAGAGAAAGCCCTGTGCAGCAATGAAGACCCAGCACAGCTAAAATAAATAGGTTAAAAAAATAAATGGAAAAGCAAAATGTCTTTCCCTATTACATAGAGCTAGATAATGCCCTGTCCTTATGGGTTATGTTTTGCTCAGAAATTTTGCCAGCCCTCCCCCACTTAAATGAGGAGAGGGGGATACTTAATTTTCTTAACAGAAAGGAAGTGGTTTGAAACTTACCTTCTCAGGTTCCCGGTATTTGCTGTATCTGAAGTCAGGTAAAGGAAAATACCGGGGAATATGGAAAAGCCCCCAGCCCAATCACTGGTGGGAGGGGCCCCAGACAGACCAAGGAGCCTGCAGGAAAGGATACAAGTAAACTCCTTCTGGCTGCGAAGGAATGAAGTCGGGAGACATAGCATCTCCTTCTATAACTGAAACAAGAGTGCAAGAGATACTCTTAACGAATCACAACCCAGAGTCACATTTGGCATAACCGGTAAACCAAGAAAAGAGCTCTTCAATTGCCTTCAAGTTCTATAGAAATGACTGCTTTAAAACAACTTCAGATGCTTTCAGAGAGCAAAAAGTCAGAGATGTAGGCATGCGTGAAAAGGTTTAAATGAAAGTTCAAGATTCAGTCTCCACTTCCATTGCCATTATCAGCTTTATTTTGTTTTAAATTTATTGTTTCAATATATAATGCTTTTAATATTTAGTATTTGAAATGCATTTAATAGATTTAATATTTAAACCTATTTGTTTTAGTGTTTGACAGTTGTGTTAAACAAAATTGATTTAACTTGGTTTTAAAGTGATGCTACTGGCCCCGTCTGCTTGGTTCTTTTGAAGAGCAAAGGGACTTTGAAAATGATCCGGTAAGCAAAGGGCTTTGGCCCTGCAGTCTTGAGTTCAGATCTAGTCTTTGCTATTAGGAAGTAACTCTCCCCCTTTCTGAGTCTGCTACCTCATTGTTAAAGGTGGGTAAGAATACTGCCTTCCTCACAGGGGTGTTTGAGAATTGAAGATTCTCAGGCAGCATGCATTTTCCCCAGAGTAGATCCCCTGGAGGAGGGCATGGCAACCCACTCCAGTATTCGTGCCTGGAGAACCCTATGGACGGAGACTGGCGGGCTACAGTGCACGGGGTCGCAGAGTCGGACACGACCGGGCGACTGAGCACCGCCCCGCTCCCAGGAGGGACAGGGGCCGTCTCTCCGGGGACGCCCGGCTCCATGCTTTGCGGCCCCTCCCCTCCGGCCACTCACCCACTTCCACGAACTCGTTGTCCTCCAGGGCCACCTCCAGCGGGTCCTCACTGTCCAGCAGGCCCAGGCCTTTGCAGCGGCGCACGAGGAAGCGGGCGTCGTCCACCGAGGCGAAGCCGCCGTTGTCGGGCTTGTTCTTGATGTAGCGCCGCACGGCCTCGCGGCCCAGCCAGCCCACCGTGAGCTGCGCGTCCTGGCAGGGCACGGCCAGCCACTCTCCGCGCACGTGCGCCGTGTACCTGGGCATGGCTGCTCCGCCTGCGGCGGCCTCGGGCGGGCGGGGAGCGCTTTATCGCGAGTGACTGCGCGGTGCGGTCGGCAGCCCTAGGGTGGACTTTCAAACACGCCCCCTTCCTTGCCCTGACTCATTCACCCAGGGGACAAATATTTATCGAGGGCCCCATGGTGTCCGTTTGAGTTTTTGCCACTGAGAGAGGAGCAAGAGCGAGGGTTGGCGCTGCCAGCTACCTGCCCTCCATGTCTGCCCCGGACAGGCCTGGGGTCTCCAGCCTGGGGGTCCCGGCACGGGCGGGCCCTGCTGCTGACCTCCCTCCCCTGGTTTCTGTCGGTGTCCCTTCATTACCGGCAGCTTATAAACACCATGTTCCTGTCTTTATCTGGCATTACTCAACTGTAAAATGCTCTCCACACCAGGAAGTGTGGCAATCCCCATCCATTTGTTTATTCCCCAAATACCTGTTGAGCAACTCTGCCCTTACCACGACTAAGGTTTTCTGAAGCCTCTTCGAGATCATTTTCACAACGAAAGGTCACCATCTGGGTGACAAGCCACCGTCGCCTGGAGGTGAACAGCTCAGACAGCCATAGGTGGGGCGCAGCTCCACCGCTTATCAGCCTGGGGCGGTAAGTTATTGACCAGCCTGTGTTTCCTCATCCAAAAGCAAAGGGAATTATTTCCTCACTGCACTGTTTGCAGTATCTGTGCCTTGTATGTGCTAGGTTGCCGTGGTCGTGGCCGACTCTTTGTTGACCCCATGGAGCCCACCAGGCTCCTCTGTCCATGGGATTCTTCAGGCAAGAATACTGGGGTGCATTGCCATTTCCTACTCCAGAGGATCTTCCCAACTCAGGGATCGAACCTGGGTCTCACGTTTCCTGTATTGTTAGGCAGGTTCTTTACCACCAGCGCCACCTGGGAATCCCTACCTGTGCTCAAATCCTGGCCCCGCCATTTCCTGACTGTGTGACCTCTGGGCAAGAAACTTGACTTCTCTGGGCCTCGGTTTCTTCATCGACAAAATGGAGATGATAATAGTACCTGTTTCAAAGGGCTTTTGGGAGTACTAAATGAGTTCATACATGTAAAGCTCCTAGAGCAGCACCTTGTACAATGGAAATGCTAGGAAATTGCCTGTGATGACTATCATTGAGACTTTTTAAAACAATATATTAAAAAAATATTTATTTGGCTACATCGTGTCTTATCTGAGGCACACGAGATCTTCATTGCATCATGAGTGATCATTCTTTGCTTGGCTAGATATTTCTTACTTCTTCAATCTCATTTTAGGCCTTCTCTTCTCCAGAAAGCATCCTCTACACCCTTCAGTGGGGGTAGATGGCCCTTCTCTGGGCTGCTGTCCTTCTTCTTTAGCATTATATAGAAGTTTTTTAAATTGAAGCATGGTTGATTTACAGTGTTAATTATTGCTGGACAGCAACCATGATTCAGTTGTATATACACATATACGTTCTTTCTAAAATGGTCTTTTCCATCATGGTTTATCACAGTGTGTTGACTATAGTTCCCTGTGCTATACTGTAGGGACTTGTTTACCCATACTATGTGTAACAGCTTCCATCTGCCAGCCACAGCCTCCTGCTCCCTCTCTCCCCCAACCACCTCCCCAGTAGCGACCACCAGTCTGTTCTCTGTGTCTGTGATTCTGTTTGTTTCATGGATAGGTTCATTTGTATCATATTTCAGATTCCACATGTAAGTGACATCATATAGTATTCATCTTTCTCTTTTGGACTTACTTCACTTAGTACAATAATCTCTAGTTGGATCCATGCTGTTGCAATGGCATTATTTCGTTCTTTTTTATGGCTAAGTAGTATTCTACTATATATATATATATATGTTAAAGAAAGAAAGTGAAAGTTTGCTCAGTTGTGTCTGACTTTTTGCGACCCTGTGGACTGCAGCCTGCCAGGCTCCTCTGTCCTTGGAATTCTCCAGGCAAGAATACTGGGGTGAGTAGCCGTTCCCTTCTCCAGGGGATCTTCCCAACCCAGGGATCAAACCCACATCTCCTGCATTGCAGGCAGATTCTTTACCGACTGAGCCAGCAGGGAAGTGCCTGTATATATGTACCACATCTTTATCCATTCATCTGTCGATGGACATTCAGATTGTTTCCATGTCTTGGCTATTGTGAATAGTGCTGCTATGAACACAGGGGTGCATGTATCTTTCTGAACAGTTTTGTTTGGATATATACTCAGGAGTGGGATTGCAGATCACACGGAAGTTCTGTTGTTAGTTTTCTGAGAAGCCTCCATACTATCCTCCACAGTGGCTGCACCAACGTACATTCCCACACTGGACGATTCTCTCTTCTCCACGCCCAGAAATTACTTCTTTTTGTTCACTCAGAAATTATGTGCGAACCCAGCCTGGTACAAAGACATTCAACATACACTTATTAGCTGAGTAAGTGTATGTTGAGCTGAGTAAGTGTATATGCTGAGTACAAAGACATTCAACATACACTTATTAGCTGAGTAAGTGTATGTTGAGCTGAGTAAGTGTATTTGCTGAGTACAAAGACATTCAACATATACTTATTGCTGCTGGTGCTGCTGCTAAGTGGCTTCTGTTGTGTCCAACTCTGTGCGACCCCGTAGACAGCAGCCCACCAGGCTCCTCTGTCCCTGGGATTCTCCAGGCAAGAACACTGGAGTGGGTTGCCCTACACTTATTAGCTGAGTTAAGTGTATGTTGAGCTGAGTGAGTGTATCAGCTGAATAAGCGTAGCTGCCACTGAGCTGACTCCAGGTAAATCCCCATGAACATTTGCCTTTAGCGCCCTCTACCTCCGCCATCACATCCTCCAAGACCACCCTCCTGCGTCCCTGGCCCCAATCCATGTTCAGTATCACTAATTAGTGTGACTGAAAAACGACATTAGCTTAGAGTTTGGGGTATGCTTATAGATCAAGGGCAGACTTCTAAAGCATCATCTGGGTCCATGAATTTGCTCAAGTCCAATCACTTAGGGCTTCCCAGGCGGCCCCAGTGGTAAAGAATCTGCCTGCCAAAGCAGGACATGCGTGTTCTATCCCTGGGGCTGGGAAGACCCCTTGGAGGAGGAAATGGCAACTCCAGTATTTCTATCTGGAGAATCCCATGGACAGAGGAGCCTGGCAGGCTATAGTCCATGGTGTTGCAGAGTCAGACACAACCGGGTGACTGAGCATGCACACAATCACACAGAAGGTAATTCTATACCATGAATTTGAGCTGAACTGTCCTCTGAGAGTCCCAGCATGGAGGTGAGTGAGAACAGGACCTTGAAAAACAGAATCACACTGCAGCGTAGAAATGCCCAAAGGGAGAGGACTGTTGGGGAGAATGAGAACAGGGAAGTCTCAGGATTACAAGAAGGGCAAGGTGTTGGCTTCAATTTAAGACTTTCTCCCTCTTTTTACTACATTAGCACTTTCGGAGGGTATTTGACGATGATATACCCCCACCCATATTTATCCTTCAAGATACCATTCCTCTTTGCTAGAGCTTACTTGGCCACGGCTGGATCAAAGCCGGGTCAGAATCTCACCTGTGGGAATTTGGAATTAGGGCAGTCTCTCCACGTGGTAAGAACTATCTGCAACAGTAAAGCTAGGGGTAGCCAGACTATACATTGTGGACCAGTTCACTCCAGTCACTCAGTCACTCCAGTCACTCAGTCGTGTCCGACTATTTGCAAATAGAAACGGAAGATAAGAGTATTGATGTTTCTCCGGTCCTGGTGCAGCGCCCTCTGTCTGTCCTCAGATGCTCATAACCTCCCCTTACCTTGTATTCTTAAAATAATCCTTTTCCCTTTCTGATGTCTAGTCATCGGGCATCCTAACTAATATAACAGTGGTTCCCAAACTCTGTGCTGAGGCACCCTAGGACCTCATTACATTCATGGGGGAACTTTATTGCTCTCATTTGGATCAAGTTGTATTGTTTTTAATTCTTTCTCTGTGTTGTATGCTGTTTGTTGGTGGAGAATGTTTGCTGATCACTAAGGACATGAGGCAGGCTGAATACCTTCAGGTATACCTGAAGGAAGAAGCAGGGTATTCAGGTTGACCATCTGACCCTAACAGACAGGAGAACAGGCCAGCATGGGGATCCAGGTATGGGGAGCAGGGTGCTCCCACAAGTTTATACATTTTTGGTAAGGGAGTTGATCCTATGTCCACCAGCTGGGTGATGAGCAAATCTAACCAAGTATTCATGTGTAAGTTTATTTAAAAAGAAAAATCTTAATTATGCTGAATTTTTGGTGTATAGAAGACTCAAACTAGAGCACTTAAAATAAGAGGTAAATAATTATATGTTGACATGTCTATCTTGTGACCATATAGGGAGAGAATGAATATGAAATAATTGAAAAACCTGACATTTATAAATCAAAAGGTTAAGCTTTGCTAAAATTCACTGTACAAAGAACACACTACCAGGGGTGGAGCAGGGGGAGGTAGCTCAGCTTTATTTACGAAAAAAAAAAATCACTGACAAAACAATAAAAAGCCAAAACTAAAAAGACATTTTTAGTTACAATGTGAGCTGAAGTGTTGTGTTTTTTTTAAGAATTTGATTTTAAAAAGAGAAATATCTGCCATCAGCAATGTGCAGGTCCTTAATCCACTTTTAAATCTTTCCCCACAAGCATGGCAGTCACCGGGTGCATGGACGCCTTGTGCTCTTGGTAGGCGCGGACGGCTTGATCATGGGATTTGTCAAAGGCAGCAAGGTCCCTGTGTTTAAAAAAAAAAAAAGATAATGACTTGTTGACTTGTTTTGGCAAATTTTACTATGCTTGCAAAGCAAACAGATTAATAATAGATATGTCAGGTTATATTTTTTTCAGAATTCCTGTCAAATTCATAGTCAAAATAATTTCACTGAGGTATTTTTAAATTGTATCTTGTGGCCAAGATAACAACTTTTTTTCAATTTTACCAAGCATTCCTTTATTGTATGTCAAGCAACCTATTCTTCTACCT